GGTGGGGGGGCGGGTTCGAGGGGCTAGGCCACGACATACCACAAACCAAAAACTATAAAGGGTTTCAATGGTTTTCTAATTGTTCTTTAGGTTTCCGTACCTGAGAAGAAATATTGATTCATTTGATTCACCATCAACTGCACTTTTTGGGCGCAATTCAGTCTGATTTTCTACTGAAAGAGAACATGAACTTGCATTCAGAAGTTAAAAAATAAATAAAACACAGGGAATAAGAATGTTGTAAGATTGACAAAATTTACAGGACACAAAATAATTCAAAATAACATAATGAATAATATTACCTATTTTGAAAGAATTGCTGGGTAGCTTATTATTTGCTCTTGAGGATGACATGTTATCTAGATTTTTATGAGTATCCACTGGTTCTTTGGCACTCCAAGACACAGATGACTCTGTGTCTTCACTGCTGTTTAATAAAAGACATTAATTACATAGATTAAAAAAAGAGGGATCATATCCATTATTTGTTGAAATTAATTAGCATATGATTTAGCTGTCATTCTCTAGATCCGGATACTATTGCAATATGTGCTACACATACTTTTTTTATATCAGTAATGGCAATGATGAAAAATAAGTTTACAGCAAATGACTTGGAGAATATTAAAAATTCTCTAGTTCCCTCAGTAGAACTTGCATGAAAGAAACCGGAAAAGCTAAATTATTACCCCATAACACCAGAGCTATGAAGAAATATTAAAAGCTTCAGAGACCATTCAGTCTTCACAGGGAAAAGTGACACAACAAACATACTTCTAATAACGAAGTCTGTAGCCTAGATTTAGATCAATAAAAACTACCATTTTTTTCTTCTTAATGATTTACATGTCACACTTAATTGCAAGTTTATTGATTTTGGTTGGTTGGTTTTCTTAATATACCCCTCTGTTATTCACATGGAAGTGGGTCATATAACCTTCCTGAAGGGTCTCCAGGATATCAAATATTAATCAAACTCACACTGTGAAAAAGAATAGATACATGGGCCTCACAGTTGGAAAAGAAAAAGTACTGAGCTCCTTTTGCATGTCAAGCCCGTGTCCTACGTTTGTCATATCTGTCAATTAGTGCATACCTCAGTGGATATTTCAGAGGCATTAGAAAACCCTCAAGAGTAAACTCAAATAGCCCAATATTTCGTAGGAGATTAAGATTCTTCTGGTTCTCTGAGAATTCCTCAAAGATGATCACTGCGGTGGAGGCTGACATAGGTCTTGTTAAAGCCTTTAATAATTGTTACTTCGTGGTATAAACTTTAAATATTGATTTCTTATCTGACTTGGTGGTGAAAGCAGTAATAAAATTAAAAGACAAAGAGCTGTATCTCAAACTAGAACAAACATTTATAACAAATAACTGGTATCAGAAATAGGTCTTAACACAAGAGAGAATTTTAAAACAGACAAAACACAAAAACATTCAGCATTCTAAAAGCAAATTATTTTCACATTAGTTCCCTAGACTGGAACCTAAAGTATCTTTCAAATATTTAGAACAAAAGAACATAAAAATCAATACTAAATATCCTAATTCAAAATTAAAAACAAAAACCAGCAAGGTAACTGGAGTTCGAAGAAGTCTAACTTTTTAATACATAGAACCTATTATTCACAAAAGGTTTGGGATTTTTCTGCACATATAGCAGTGTAGAGTATTACAAATATAGAAAAAAAACCCCTTAGATTAATGCTTTATGTCATAAGCAAGGAATATGGGTCAGCTGCATTTGCAAGGACATAAGGCTGAACCACAAATCTAAGATGCTGTACTGATAGGCTTTGTGATGCTCTAAGCCTAATGCATAAAAACAAACAAAAAAATCTCAGCAGAGATAAAATTGACCCATATTTATAAGATTCTACAAAAGCTTTCAAAAAAAAGTCAAATTACTGTGTATCGTTGTTATAAAAACAAATAAATAAAAATGAGAGCACTTAGTTCAGAAGTAAATTTTAACACATTCTCTAGCCAGGAGGAAGGAGTCTGTTGAAAGCAAACAGACAGTGTAATACACTAATAGCATAATTCCTAAGCATCCAAAACTGTTCACCGAATGGTGTAAAATTCCATTCATCAATTAGTTAACGATATGAAAAATCTGAGCAAAATTCAATAGCGGGAAAATTTACAGAAAGCCAAAATAAAAATATATAAACATTTGTTCGCTTAGATTTACTATACAAGAAGTCTTCCTTGAACATTCGGTACCTTGAGCTTGTGCCCTGGCTGTCTGCAGAATCACCACAATGGCTAAGGGATCCTTTCCAAAATGGATGCTGCAATAGGTCTGTCCAATTCAGCCTTTTGAAAAGCAACAAACAAACTGAAAAAGCAGTGGCAAAGTACAGCTCCACAGACACATATCAGACTAGGTTTTGAATCCAGTGCCACTACAGAGCAATTATTCCTTTTTTTTCACTTTTATTTGGTCAACAAACAAGTTTTCTTACAGGACACTTTTTGCCTCAAATCAGAATGGATAATTCATTCAACACAGAGGTATGAGACTAACAATGAAGGAAACTGCATAGCCAATCCCAACATTTAAATTATCCAAGCTACCCTATAACTGATAATCTTATATTATTTAAAAATATAACTGTATCAGCTATAAATCAAAGCCTCGCAAAATAGATTGCTCTGGAAAAGCAAAGCCATTCGATTTTACAACTGCCCATCATTTCTGTTACAAAGTCATCCATTTAACACCAGCTACAAAAATACAAAGATATACTTAATCAAAACGTTAATTCTGTATATCTTCATGTAAGAAAAAGCACAATTTGTTCTTTTATGAGGGACTAAATGATTTTTGCATTCTTTGTGCTCTAAAATTAATATACATACAGTATCATAGCAATTATTTTTTCCAGAGCTGAAAAAAGACAATGTAAACAACTGTCATGTATTAGACAGTTTACCTTTTCTGAGGATTCTTTTGAAGCAAGCCATCAAGCAAACTAACGAACTCGGCAGAAGGTTTGTAAAAAGCAGAACCTGTAGATAGAAGCACTTGAGAAGATAAGTACTGGGCAGCAAAAACAACAATCACACAATATAGATCAAATCATTATCTACAGATCATGCTAAAAAAAATTAATTTAATAGTAATTTAATCTGAGAAAATCTGAATGTATTAAGAATCCTAAATATACACTCTTCGCATTTCAAAGGATCCTCAAAAAAACCCCAACAAGCAAAACAAAACAAAAAAGCCAAACAAAAACAAAAAAAGCAAAAAACCCCAAACCAAACAAACCACCAATGCTCGATCTCCAAACTAATTAACATTGTTTATATGTTAAAAAAAGCCCCCTCTAATTATCAAATAGCTATTATCAAGAAATAAAGTGGAGTTGAAATCTGCTTAAACTGAAATTGTTTCCCCCAACCATGATGATTTTAAGAGGACCACTGTTGCACCCTATTATACAAAAGAGGTTTCCAAAATTCTTGTTTAACTGAGAAAAACTCTACTTCTGAGAGCTCAGAACTATGAAATGCACTTTCTCCACTTTGAAAACAAAATCTCTCTTAGAATTGAAACAAGTAACAACACTTTTAATTCTACAGGTCACTGTTTTCACTACATTACTCTGGTCTAAAAAGAGCCACTAGCATTTAAGTGTCTCCATGAATACCACTGATGCCCAGAATGATTGAGATCAAAAATTCCATCCCAGAAGGTAGATTTACTTTTAATTCCTAACACTAGATGATACGCCTATCTGTCAAAAGGTAAATAAGCATTCATCATTAACAGGGAAAAAGTTCTTATCAAAGGAAGGCAATGCTAACATTCACTTCGGACAGCTAACTGATTCCTGCAATCAGCCTCAGAAGAAATACTGCAAAACAAAACTTTAACTTTTTAAGCGTTACTCCAATTTGATTCATTAAACAATAACAGAATGTTACCCTCCGGTTTAGGTGGCAATGGATCTTCATATAAAATCTTTTCAATTAATTCAGAAAAGCTGTCTGAGAAGAATGGTGGCCTTCCTACAAACAAAGCGTATTTCACAGATTAGGCAAACTTCAAAATGGCTGTCAGGTGCAACGATATACGATGAGCTCATTTTCCTAAGGAAACATCCAAAGAAATAAACACCCTCAGCCTGAATTCTATTTATCAAGTTCTCTTGTCAATTTAAATACAAAACCTTGGATTTAATTCTTCTACCATGAACAGCAAAAGAGACCAAGGACAGGACAGGCACCAAAGATAGCTTGGAGGAGGTCACCATGATAGCCCTGTATGAATCAGCAATGAGAAAACAACAAGAAAAAGTCTAGGCAGAAATCTCAATATCTTTGTAACTATGTTGATTCAACAGATCAGCGTATTGTTTAGGACTTCAGAAGGTTGCCCTGTAATTCTCTTCTGTGATGAAATTTTCCTTCCAGCTGCAGCCAGTGCTAACAGGTATTTTATCTGCAGGAAACCCCATGACTCTAGTTTTATACTTTCTCTTTCAAAGGTCAAACTAATGCACCCCAAGTTTAACACAGAGTTTAAAACATTACACTGTCAGAATTCGAGGACTCCTATAATTTTAAATCATAGCATTTAAGCAATACAGGTTGGTTAATATAATATTTAGATCACAGTCAAAAGGACAACTTAATAGTATTACTTCACTTGATTATTTGATAAATTCCCCCCCCTTTTTTTTTTTTAAAGTACAGTTAGTATATTCTTCAAGGAATCTGTAAAACCTGTCTTAAGGTTTTCTACGTCTTAACTTCACTAGAAAGTTAACAAAGAAGTTACTCTGGGACCACAACCTATGTTTCCATTATCACAGATATTAAATAGATACACAAACTTACAACCTGAGAACATTTCATAAAGTAAACATCCCAAGGACCACAGATCACTGGCTTTGGAGAAGTCTTCTCCCTTTATTGCTTCTGGAGCTGTGTATAATGGAGAGCCTACAAAATACAATATGTATAATGCACTTTGATTATTCATTCAGCATTTATCCCGTTCAACACTTCGAACTTTGTCTCCACACTTCAGTGAGTTAGGGATTATCTTCACTTAGTAAAAGAAAACTGAGATACAAAATGTAACTAGTTTCAAAGGAACTTCTCTCCTATACTTTTACTGAATTATGTAGGATTATATACACTATTTTGTTGGAGTTTTTTCACTTCTGTAAACCAAGCTGGATTTTGCTATACTTTTCTAACACAGTGATTAATACGAAATATGTTTTGACACACCTTGACAGCTTCCAGAGCCAAGCAAATTGAGCAGAATGATAAACCAACATAATTCTCATGTGAGTAACAGAAATAATTACATCACATCAGGTTCGTGGGTTTGGGGTTTTTGTTTTTTGTTTTTTTTTTTAAAAAAAAGCTATCCCAAGACAAACCCTCACGAAATTGGAAAACTCCGTTACAAAAACAAGGTTAGCTACCAACTGGATCACTGATATAAATTAGTTATAGCTATTTTCACACTAAAACACTATGAAAACATCACATATCACAGCAGCTAATTCACAAACCCCTTTTGTCTTGTTACAGAAAAAGAAATATACAGGTCTTATTTCTACAGTAGTTCCCCTCTAAAACACTAACTTGGTTCTCAAAAATCTCTAAAAAAATTACACAAACTCAGCAAAAATGTGAATTCCACAGTCCTTTAAAAAGCTTATTTTGGATCCTTTTGTTCTTTAGTTTTACTTTAAGTGACAAAAGGTCATTAACCATACAGATCAAAGCAGCTGTTCTGAAAGGCAACAGGAAAGAGATTAGATTTGTATTTCTTCCTGAATAAAGATCTGGTCTTGGTCTTAGTATTTCCAGTATGGGCTTTCAGCAGG